CAGACTATATTCGGGCTCGCTCGCTTCATTGTCCGCACTTGTACTTGACACGTCCCCAGCTTCATCACTCCCCTGTAGTGCATGCTCCTCCTCGTCTTGTTGCTGACCATAACAGGATGGAGGTTGGCGGTTCCGTCTATTTTTGCGTACCCCTGCTGCCGCTCCTTGCCTGTTGACAACCCCAGAGCTATTTCCATGTCTTGCCACTCTTCTTCGTGGCATTGTGGGTGTGGTTGGGGCAGATAATGAGGTGTGCAGTTGTGGCGGTATGATTTTCGTTGGCAGGCTTCGCTGGGTAAGATGGTAGCCACCGGAAACGTAAGGTGAGAAGAGAGTAGGACAATAAAGACCACAGGAATGAATAATAAAGAACACGAGAATGAAGTATGTGAGCTGTCGAGAGCTTGGTGCTTCCGTGTTCGGGGATGATGGAGGGTGCATATATACCGGGGGGTCACAGACCCCTCCCTGGTGGACTATGACCCTGCCTTGGCAACCGGTCGGCTATACCCTTTTCCAACAACCTCCGAGACGCGTCTTCATCGTTGAGTGGTTCCGGTCCGCTTTGCCTAATTGGCACTGGGTTCTCCAAACCCACCATTAAAAAAAAACTGGCACCCTCCGATTTGAACCACCACCCATTCTGTCTCGAAAAATAAAAAATAACTCTTCTCAACAGCATGTCTCGATCGTGTGTCCTCCGGGTTATGAGCCCGGCGCACTTGCTCTGCGCCATGTTGCTTGTTGATGAATACATTTGGTTTCCTGTCCTTGTGGGGAAGGAAATCTGGCCCTATTATGCTCTAGGTTTAGCTCGTTCCCAGTTTTCAAAAGGTAGCATATATATACTCACCACAGCTATGGGACCGGGTAGGCCCACACAGGTGGTAGGGAGACAGGAGGCGCAATTAACGAAGTATGCCATCTGTCACATATAGTATGCCGCAATATGATTGCGAAATTTGGTGGCAACAATGGCTCGTTCATTAGTATCCCATGGACGGATGAGGCAGCCGGATTCCGGACCTTCGATATCCGGTAAATCTCCACTGTAGCTAGACTAAGTCACTTTTCCACAAACAAACTACTTGATATTTCATGATTTTTGGCAGGCAAAGTCACTAGGCCACACCTCGATTAGGAAGCGCGACATTGTGCATGCCTCATCAGTCCGTGGGGTGCGCCGTGTTCACGTTGTAAAAATCTCGGCTTCCACTCCTCTACTCGAGTACAGTAAAAACTCTTGCGATTCGCCATCGGATTATCCCTGTCAATCGCGTAATCAGCCGACGATGGGTTTAGTTTGGCATGTTAACAGAATTGCGAAAAACAGTTAATGAGGTCAAACAAGGCCAAAGCGCCCAGGCTATACCATGTCGGGAAAGCGCTAATCCTTCTCAAGCGATCTTGTCTCTGAATCCCGAGATTAGCGACTTCACCGAGATGGCGAATCGCAAGAGTGTTTACGGTACTCGAGTATAGAAAGCTTGGCACAATACTCATCTGGCGGCCTGGCGCAAGATTAGGCTTGGCGCAGCCAAGACTTAGCATAAAAGGGGTTTGCCTCGTCCAAGAGAAGTGAGCAAGTTTTTTCAACCTCACGATTTGGCCACCAACGGTCGAACAACAATCATGGCTCCCAAGTTAAATAATCTTCGACAACAATGCAAGGACGCTGGACTTGATCAAACCGGGCAACTTTCAGAGTTGGTCCAACACCTAGAGGACAATCGGAATCGCATGGAGACTTCGCCAGCGGAGCAAGAGGATCCAACATTTGACGCAATACTCGTTACCGAATCGATGGCGGGTAGCCTGGATGACATGAAGAGAGCCGCCCATGATGAGCTTGAACAAACACTAGAAGAGGAGGAACTCGAGGTTCGTGAGGTGATGGGAGAACTATACGTTGGTAATCACCGCGGTCTTGGTCTTGCTAGTGTTCCGGAGCGTCTCCGTATTGTCGAGGAGGATCTCCGTACAGTCAAGGCCACGGTCGCCACCAGCGGGGAGCAGATCGCCGAGCTGAAAGCTGAGGTTAGCGAGCTGAAGGATCATGTATCCATATTGAAGCTTGCGGGGCCTGATTATAAAAGGGTTCGGAATCGATTTCTCTCCATCTATAAACGAGATATAATGAAAGAGACCCTCAAGCCGTGGGACTGGAATTTCATTCAAGAGGGCAATGTCGTGGCACATTCGGGAGATGCTGCCATTGATGCCATGTTGTATGATGGCGCAGGGGGACGACAAGATTGGTACGTATTTGAGGAACTTTACGGACTACACCCCTCCGCGGTGCAGAAAATCAGTAAGTCATCTTCGCTACCTGATCAACTTAAGTGCCAGCATTAAAGCTAACCTCTCCAGCCCACAAGGAAACAATCGAGATATTGAATCGCCACGCCACGGTCAAAGCGAACGATCAACCCGGGGCAGATGAATTCTACCGAAGATTTGCCGTCTTCGTGGCGGCATTCAGAAGGGAGGACCCCTGGTGCAACTATTTACAGTACGGTCACCTAAATCCAACCTGCGCCGCGTACTGGTCCCTACTCGAGCTTCAAATATGATTATCAAGGTAATGTCACAACCAGAGGCATTCCACAGACGAGAGACTAATAAATACTTTAGTGGATCTACAAAGGAAGGATGTGTATTCTGCCGGTGGTGTGGTGGGGTGGTGGGTAAGCGGGGTGGTGGGTGTGTTGGAGAGGGGAGGGACTCCTTTGCTCTTTTAGTACTCTCTTTTCTCTTTCTTCGCTCTTTTCGCCCTTTTTGTTGCACGGGTTTTGTCGCGTCTATCAGAGCAGTTTAGCTAGACTATTTTAATTCAAAATTGTGTTCTTGCGTGTTCCACCCTTTGCATCCCTGTCCGCAAACAACCACGATGGGTTAGTGTGATTAGAAGTCGCGAAATCTGCCATACTAAAATCCTCACCTCATAACACCTGTCCCGGGGCACACCAACCTGACCACTTTCTCGAGGATGCTTGATATCTCCCCTGCAACAATTACATCACCAAGTGTATTCTAGTTTAGTACAGGTTGACTCAATCTACAAGATCAGTGACCAAATTTTCTTGGGAACTAACTATGGCATTTAGCACGAACCATTGTACCAAGGTCCAGCTAAACCCATCCATTAGGGAGGTTTTGCAGGCGGTATAAGGGAACAACAATGTCCAAGCCTTAGCGCCATGGCTCAGGCTGGTAGCTCCCTAATTCCGAATGCCGGCAGGGGGTTTCATTGATGGAAGCAGATTGGGAAATAAAGAATAGATAGCTGTCTGACGAGTTGAAATCTGGTCTCAGCCGAAGTCGGTTGTGGGAACGCTGTTTCTTAGGTACTGCCATGACTGGAGCTGTGCTGAGATACATGCAGCAGTTACTAGTGTTATTTTTATTTCGAACCCACCCTCATCCGGGATAAGTAATATTGTAAATTACTTGTATCCAGGGTCGACGTCCTATTGTTATCACCCCTACAATTGAGCGGTATTGGAGTTATGTGTCCTGGTGAAATTCCTCATATCGTGGCCCATGTGCTCATTTGGCCACTCGTTTTAAAAAATCTTGATTTATATAATAACATACAAGGAAACCCCGGCGCCATAACGTATTCCTATTCCACAGAAAGCTGAGGACTTCAAGTTTTATCTAATCGGTTACCTTGGCCCTGCCCACCTCAGAACTCCTGAACTCTCTAAACACCCAGCATGTATCTATGACTATAGTTGAACTCGCATCCACAGAACTCGGGTCATTGTCTTTTCATCTTTCCTTGAATGCTCGCAGAAACTTTGCGAAGGCTTCAGACTCGGTATTAGTGGCGATCTTGTGGTTTGAGGCATGGACTTCAGCGTCAGCATTTAAGACCTTGAAAGTGTCTTCCTAGCCTGCAGAAATCAGTCGCAATCCAGATTGAAAACAGAGTATTCTAGAAAAGCTCACAAATGTTTCCCACCGCAGTGTGGTATAGTCCATACAACTCCTCAAACGTTCCCAGATCTCTTGCCCCCCCTACACCTGTATAACGTAAGGCGTCAGCAGCGCTATCGTGTCCATCCGAAGCAATATGGTGGCCTGAATAATCTCCGCAACGGCATCGGTCACATCCCGCCTCCTATCGCTGCCGTAGGCCCTGAGGGATCGCCCTCTAGCCAACTTAGAAGACACAAGTGAAGCAGAATGGGTGGATACTCAACCGCCGAGGGCGCGTGTTTTGGATATACCAGTAGGAGCTGCTTTTGAAACTGCGGCAACTATCTGGCATGGTGTCGTGTTCTCCGTCTCGCGTTGACGGACGTGGAGGTAGGGAGGCCATAGGCCATGCCACCATGATTAACCACCGGATTTTTGTGTCCCCCTCCCCTACCTTTACATCAAGCTCCCCGGGTCGCAGCGTCCCTCCCAAGGAGTGTTGAGCATCCTCCTACATCCTCTCTTCATCAACTACTTCCGATCTGCCACAGGTATAGCATCACATCCGGAGTAACCTTCAGTTGTCCTCAGTGTCCGGGGACCCTAAAGGACCACCTGGGGGGACTGTTAACGGCACTAGACGGTCCGGAACGGCTATGTGCAGTCCCTCCCAGGCGCCAAAAGTGCAGGCTATTAGGCCTCATATAGGACAGCGGGCCCAACAGGGCCAAACACTGTTGGTGAGGGGAGTTGTGAAGGACCGGCGGGGACGTTGGGGTGCTACGGAGGACTGTGGGAGACGGCAGAGGAGAGACGGGGACTGCGGGGGACTGCGGGGGACTGCGGGGAACAACACAGCATACCAAAAACAACCACACAAGTAGCGGAATCATTGTGGCAAGATCCTTTTGTTTGTGAAATTCCATGCTGTAAGATGGTAGGCCTCGGGAGTCTATCAAGTCCTATCAGTGCTAGCTACAGTCCATCCAGGCACTGCTGAATAGGAGGAATACCAGATATAGTCCATCCTGCCTCAAAGATGGTCTGACTGGACGGTTGGGAATAGTGGTCACCTTGCCCTTCTGGTGAAAAACAATTGCGATGGCGGGGGCGCTGACTTGCTAGGCATTGTATGAATTTTTCCAGGGACCCGACCGTGCCAAGTGCGGCATTCTTGGGTTGTCTATGGAGCTTGCACCGTGACAGCTGCTTGGTGAGCACAATTGATGCGGTGTGTAGGGTTTGGTGGTTGTGTCTGTTATACTATATTAGGCCGTAGAACGGTGGGTGGGGCAGCAGGGACTCTCTCAGCAGTAGCAGAGCGCCGGGGCTACACCCCTCTTCTATACCCCTTTGGACTCCCTGCCAGCATTCAAGCTTTCCTCTGCATTCACTTCTGCCTGCCACTCACATACCCCTGCGTTTCCTCCCTGACACCCACTTCCATAACTTTTGGCCTTTGTCAATTAGATTTGTTTTGTCAACACTTTACTCCTGCTATTGTACACTCACGGAACCCCCCAAGCCATAGCGTCCTACAGTCCCCTCCGGAAGCGAAGGCGTATGGCTGTCCATCCTAGGGATTCAAAAGAACCCGTCAACCTCTCCCCCCTGAACTAGCGTATCAATAACGAATCACGCAGAAAGCCCAAACGAAAACAAACTGCTGGCATAGGGAGTACGGGCTCAGGCCCCTCCTCTGAAACACAACCCGCAATGCCACCCTTAATTCCCCAAGGCCGTCGACAGATTCAGTCAACTCCAAACACAGTTTACCACAAGAGGGCTCGGATAGTTTAACCTCGCCACTCGGATTTCACTCCGGGTGCGGATGCTACATGGCCCACCATCATAGCTTTCACCCACCAAACCCCGGGTCCAACCTTACTCCTGCACTTCGTCGGCGACCTGTGTGCGACAGAGTGCAGGCAGATGTAGCCCCATGATCCAACCAAGTCTGCAGTCGGAAAGATACCTACTTGGACGTGCGCTAGGGGCCAAGCTCGAAAGCTACTTCGGAACTCGATAGAAAGAGTACCCAAAAGTAGCAGAATCCATCTTCTGCCCCGCTCATGCCGGTTAGGTGACGACTAGGTCATTTTCTTCCAGCCCACGGGGCATTGTGAATTGAACGCCGTACTGTACTTATTAAAAGAAATAGGAGCTAGAATTAGTAGGGTTACCAAAAGGGCAGTTAGTCCTAGAGGCAGACCACAGCACAGGATAGCGCGCCGTCGGCTTTAGCAATTTTCTAATCCTCTAGGCCATATGGAGGTAAGCACTTTGGCCCACCCGTTGCAGGCAAGAGGGGTCTCACGAGGATTGTTACGGTGCTCCAATATATTCTCTAGTTCTATGGGTCTAATTTTATAAAATGTGACCGAGTTTAATCTTTCTGCACACTTGGAAGCTGTTTGTCGGTTCGATATTGCGATCTCAATTATCCTGCTTGATTTCTCTTCATAGGCAGGTCTGGGCCCTTATATACATGGAGGAACTTCCTCCATTTCTCCCATCAACCTCATATCGTGCGATCAGCCATACCCCGCTTTCCCTTCCCTTTTCCTTCTCTCAATTTCTCCTATCATCGTATTTACCCGGTGGTTCCTCGAATCAACCATCCCTCTTCCACCATGTGGCCCATGGCTTGACTTTACTTCCAATCGTCCCTTCCCTACATTTATCCCCAACATGCCCGAGAACATTCTACCTCTCTTATACATCTAGGTATAAACATGACAAATGAAATAGTAAAGATTCTAGTACCTCCGGACAAGGTTCCGGTAATTCTCTTGACTTCACCGAGGTGTGATGTTGGTCTGGT